TCCTGGCTGCAGGCCTCCTCTCTCAAAACTTGTCAGTAGATTTTACCTGCAAACACTGCCCAAAGCTCCTTTTCAAGACCACTTTTCACGTCTTCCACTTTTGCATCAACTTCTCTTTCCTGCTTAGGCACGCCTAAACATGTAGGGTTTTTGTTCAAAGCCGTTACTCAGGGCTCTACTGCACACCCCTGGGACCTCCCAGCTGCTTCTTTCAAGTATCATACGTCTTCTGCTACAGAACTCTCCTCTTTCAAAATTTTCCCTTTCCTCCCATCCCCAGGCTCCCTGAGGAGTATTTTGTGCCCTTCCTGTGAGAGTCAGAACACCACACCTGACACATTTTCCTAAAATTTTACTGGATTTCATTGATTTTCATGGCCTCAGGCACCACTGCTGTGTCATGTCAGTGATTCTTACGCCCAGCTGTGCACTCCTGAACCATTTCATTCGATTCCAATCCTACCTGCAGTTACCATTTCCACCAGAGATTTAAATCTGGTTAAAGTGGAGCTTGTTTCCTCTCAAGTCCTACTTCCTGTAGTTACCTCAGGCCACCCTCCAGTTCCAAGTCCATAAACTAACATCCAATTCTTACACCACCTTATGCACCAGAGCTTGCATAAAACGTCAAGAATATTCATTACCCAGTCCTGGTATTTCTCTTGACCAGATCATTTGCTTACATCTTCATTAGCAAATTCTTCTGCTTACACTGTCACCTCTCTATCCTCCACTTCACATAATATTTCAGCCACTTAAAAAAAAAAAAAATCCTTCCTTTACGCAGTACTTCGGAGCTTCTGGATCTTGCAGTATTTCTACAGCCAGCAAGCCTATGAGCTGGAGGCTGTACAGCTGCAGAACCTGCACTCCATTACTGAAAAGGAGAAGGAGGATTATTTTCTGAAAATAATGTAACCACCTCTTAGAAGAATCTCGTAACAGAAGCTTTCCTCTGCATCTCATCTACTTGTATTCAGAACACTGAAGACACACTGGTTGAGGTAGGGCTGAATATTACCACCTCATTTCCCCCTCAAAAAAAATCACCTAAACGAAGGTATTACTATTAAGGTCATCCTCGCATCTAATCTTACAAATTTAGGAGAAAACCTCTGTAGCTTAGAGTTTATTATAATGCAGACTGCGTAAAACTGAACTCTGCGGCAGGCCAGGGAGGGAGAACCACAGTCAGTCTTGTGAAGTGAAATCCTGTTTGTGCGTGAAAGCCGGGAACTTGATGTTCTCACTACAGACTAAAAGCAATAAAAACAGCTTTCTGAGCCATTAATTTCTGCACAGCTGATTTCTACCAAACAATGCTCATTATTGAAAGAATTCTAAAAAAACGCAGGGCTGTTCCAGTGAGAAGGCTGGCACTCTGAATATCCAGCCTGAGCTAACAGTGACATCAGTGCAACTACTGCTTTAAACCCCAGGACTACTAAATGTCAAATATTTTCACTGTATTTAAGAGCTTGTGATTGCGCACAATGAGATTAAGTTGCTTCACGGTTTTAAAATTGGACAACGCACAGTGAGCATCCGCACTCTTGTCACCCAAGATGGCGATAATGGCAAGTTCCTCAGTAACATCAGCCAGAAACCACCATGCTTTTTCCACAGCTGAAATGTAGCGGGTTTACAATTTGTAATTCTGAAATCACAGTGAAAAAAGTGAAAACTCCTATCTTCAGACCTTCCATAACCCAGTGAAGTCTACAAATACATGCGTTACTGCCCTACTCAAATCCAACTTATAAATAGGTTGCAGCGTTGAGTCAAGAACATTTGGGAGGTGGAAGGGGAGGGAGAAAGTTAAAAAGACTAAGTGTCACTGCATCATCTGTCACGAAGTCCAGTAGAAACTGAGCAGCAGTCCATATATTTCTTCTTGTTTGTCATAAGACACCCATGTAACATTCATTTCATCTATTTTAGTGAATGAGATGCATCACATTATAGTCAACACAGTAGAAGGAACTGTCTTTTTATACTGTATAAACTTTAGTGTGGTAAACTATTTGAAGTAGGATATACTTTTTAAACATTCCTTAGTATTTTCATAATCTGCTTAATCAATTACTATGGCAGTAGTTGGGCTACTACACATGTTTCTAAAACAAGTGTCTAATAATTATTTCATCCTTCCAAGTGGCTCCTATCAACTACAGTGAGCTAGGACACTGCTGTAATGAAAGTGCAAGAAAACCGATCAATCTTCGTATTGCATAAGTGAGAAGTTACTAAAAAAGAAATTAAATTCAGTAATCCTACTTATTCCTTATTATTTGCAGGGAGGAAAAAGTTAAAATAAAATTTTCATAAAATATAGAAATATTAGAGGCACAGAGTCCCATAACTAGAGAAACTCTGAATTTCAAGAATGAGGCCAGGAGTAGAATAGGATATTGAAAAACTACTGATTCAGAGTATTCCAATAAAAATCTATACATACATATGAGCTCTTACACTTCACGATTACATAAATCACCCAATCAATCTTATATGTTTAAGATCTTCCCACGCTCACTCATTAACTAAGCAGCTTTGTCTTAATTGTGTCTTATTAGCAAAGTACTGATTCACAGCTCTCCATGATCAGATTTTTATTTCTAAAGTTAGTATCAACTTTTATTTGAATACCACACTTGAGTGAGTTCCTTTGGTGCTCTGAATACGTGCTGGCAAGTGGGATTCACAGTAACAATCAGTTTGTACCCAAGCAACAACGGTTTCATGTTACAGAGTATGAAAGTTCAAGAGTGGCAAGCTTTTAACCTTAAAATCTTAAAATAATTCAACATCTCCCTACAGAAAGATGGGGAGGCAAGGTGGTGGAATTATTTACATACACACATACATAAATATGTGCATACATCCTCGGTTCAAGAACAAACCTGGAATTACAACAGATTAATTAACTTGGCTAGCCATATCAGAAGTGACCTGATTATCTAAATCAGAGTGCTAATCTTTTGTTGGGGGTGGAGGCGGCCTGTTACAAAAAAAAGTGAGAGAAACCACTTTACTGAGGAAAAAAGGCCATCAATGCTCAGTTTTAGCCTGAAGTGGGAGTACATCATTCCTGAGATTCTTCCATATTAATTAACAAACTCACATGTTTTGAGTTTTAATCCAGAGTAAAGTTGCAAGCAGCAGAATTGGCAAGGCTGACTCACTACAACAAGAATCTACAAATAAAATAAGCCAGAAACTAAACTTCACATAAAACTTAAGTGTACTGTTTTTTAACTATTAAAGCCACTGACACATCAGTTTACAGCTCTTACGCTATCTATATACATACTTCAGAAAAGCTGACAGTAACAAACACTACTGTTTCAACAAGCCAAGAAGTGAGGAGTCACTGCAGTAGGCTCCTTTCCTCTAGAAGAAAATACAAGCCAAAAGCAATGTCATCTCAAAACAACCTTAATACAGAAAGAACAAAAACGTTTCTGCAACATTCAATCGCAGGATAATGTAAATGGAATTAATCCCCAAAGCAAAATATTTCTGCAAAGAACAGAGCTATACAGATCAACTGTTTAGACTTCAGTTGTCCCACAAATCAGGGTTCTTCCACTTGCTGTGCGAAAAGCCAATCAATACACAGAGCCAAGACATTTATTTCATGTCTGCTCAGGCATCACAATAACCAGTTCATGCTGAGACAACACGTTTTTACTTACACAATGTGAGTTTATAAGAAATAAAACTCAAAACAGTACCAAGCAATTAAGGTAATAAGCCATAAAAGCCACCCACACAAATCTACAGGGATCACTTTTTTTTAGCTTACCTGCACTTGTTCTGTGGAGCTACTACTGAGTTCATCTCCAGACTCCGAATCTTGGTGAATTTTTTCTGAGCCTTCTCCCGCTGAATCACAACATTGTTCATGCAAAAAGCTGGTCTTCTCTATTTCCAAGAACTCCGGACATGGGAAATGACCCATGGAGATGGTTCTATACTGACTGGAAACCTTGGGAGACTGCAACTCATTGTTAAGTTTTCCATTGTTTTGAGTAAGGTCCAGACTCAAACCAAGAGTTTGACCAGGGCTATTGTTTGGTCCCAGATTTTGATTGGCATCTCGAACTAAGCAAGACACTTGAACTGGAGAAGATTTTCCAAAACTAGTAAGCTCCGGTGACTTATTCACATTTTCAATTGATCTCTGTAATCCATGTGTCAACTTCAAGGCATTATTTGGCAGCATACTTGCTTGCTTAACAGGTGGCATCAGTGCTTTTCGGGGTATTTCCTTCACATACTGTGCTGGCACATAAAAGGGTTTGGAATTCTCATCTCTTTTGACTTGCCACCAATCATCGTTAGTCTTTTTCACTAAGATGTATTTCTCCCCTTGCTTAATCACAATTTTCTTGTCCTTGGCCTCATACTCATAGTCATACTCCACTTCAATGTACAATTGTCCTGGAAGGATCTTTCCACCTTTATCAGCCATTTCTATTTGAAAAGATTTCACCTTTTCAGGCAAAAAGTAAGCCACATTCTGTTTCAGAACAGTTATTTTCCTGATAGTAATCAGAGCTGTAAGAAAAAACATATATATGTAATAAAGTAACTAAGAGCACCGCAGAGAAAAATAATTTAAAAAATAACCCTGCCTATTCCATTTATGCTAACCTCAGGCTAATAAATTGATGGTAAAATGCACGATGTTCAGATACCTTTCTCAGTGATAAAATAGTCAGCGGAACAACTAAGTCACCGATTTAACTCTCCTATTCACACAAGCCTCCTGCTACTAAGTTGCTCATTAAGCCTGTTGTTTCTAATACTAAATAATGTTGATCACCAGGGCCTTGGTGGAGGGGCTAGTCGGAGTCAATCTCTTGCTTACACACAGGCTTAATTGCTTCATGGAACTCTTTTGGTTAAAACCACTGTAGTAACAAAGTCAAAAGGAGAAGATTATTATTTGCTTATTTTGATTCCTCTTTCAGTTCAATAGTTCCTTCAGAGCGCACAAAATTCGTTCTGGAATCCCTCAAACCCTCCTCCAGCACTAGAGCCCTGTGCCGAGGCTCAGCATGGGCTGGCACCCCTCGGCCCAGGCGCTCTGTACCCTCCGCAGAGCCCGCAGACCTGCGCCCGCAGGAGAAGGAGATGGCGACGAGGGAGTAACACAGCCCACCCGCCTGGGCTCCCACGCCGCTGCCACGTCTAGCTGGTGTCTACAAAAAACGTGGTACAATCCCTTTTTTATTTAAGTTGCTAGTGTAACTGCAACACAGAATTTCATCTATAACCATGTCAGTATTAAATGAAAGTATTTAACGTTTCCACGGTCTTTTGGTTTCACTGGTTTGAATTCTGCATATTTACTTTGCTCTTATGAGAGCTTTTTGTGGTATTTAGGCAAACCTGACCAACCACAAGTTTAAAGTGCTAAAACAGTAAACACAAACAAAAAACCCAACAATAATGAAACAAGGATTATGAACCAAAACAAAAAATGGGTCATGCATGAAAATTTTGAAAAGTACTTTTAGCATCTTATAATCCAGACAACCATCACCATATCCATTGTATCCACAACCATGACCTACAAGTTCTCTCTATTTAATCACGTAGCATCAATGTCACAATTCATGAGCGGGTAAGCATTCATCTTGCCAACTTACACCGAACACAACATACTAAATTCACATGAAAGGCATGATTTCTTAATCTTGAAAAATCAAAGCATGTAAGTAAAGCAGAAGATCCCCAGCATTCAAATAGAATGTAGGAGAATTCAAGAAAAATGCTGCCACATTTAATCTTATAAAGATTAAGAAGTATATCTTTTTTAAAAACGCATGTTTCATGAATGAGAAAAATTCTGCAGAGGCTTGCAGCTCTGCAAGTTAAAACTTTGTGATGAGATCTGTAGCATTTGCTCTGCCACAGAGTAGAACTAACACAATTCCATGCGGGCACACACACGCAGAGTGAACTCCGCTACCCTAAACAAGATTAAGGACAGAAACAACAAACAGACTTTTGGGGAGAGCCGAAGCAGAAACCCCCAACAGTTCTTCAACTTGCCTAGCACCATTTCTGCTATTTGGTCTGAGCCTTGGGAAAGAAAACAAAATACGTTTCCCACATAACTCAGCAGAAAAAGAAGCAGCTAAAAAGCTCAAGTATGACGCCAAGGAAGAAGTGCCAATCTTTAAACTGTGTCTTTCTCTCTTCCCCAGACCATCTCCTTTTACTTCCAGCAAGCACTGCCTACAGGTAACTTGAAAGCCACCATCCTTTACAAGACTCCAAACAGACTCACAAGGTCGGACTCACAATTTTTTTGAGGACTGGGCAGAAGGAATGATGGTACCACATTCAACAGAGCTGACAGGAGGAACAGAAAGCAACAGAAAAGAATGCTGTGATTCTGGTGTTTACTCTCTACCATAAAATGGTACACTGAAACTCACAGCATTACAGTCTTTTTACAGCCTCCGTACAAAACAATTTGCTTACCTGCTGTTCTATATAAATAGGTATTTTTAAGTGCAGCTCTGCAGTTGTTTTAGCAACCGCAGCAGAAGGTAAACACGAACAAATTGCAGCCATTCCTACTCTCTTCCTAGTTTTGGAAGCTCTGCCATACAAATGTTATTTTTGCTTTGTTACTAAACCTGACTCCTCCCAACACTTCTTCAAAGCTGCTACCAGCCCCTTTCAAGGCTTCAAGGTCATTCACCAGAAAAACACAAGTGTTTCCAAGCTACAGTCTACCTCCAAGGTCTGCTACCTTGGAAGGTGAAATGTAGGACACAGAGCCATTCACACTGTTTTTCCTTCTCCCGTACAGAAACCAAAAAGAGAACACAAGCCTATGGTTTCCCACAGGGCTACCAAGTGTTTAAAAGCTTGGATTTTTAATTTCTCTTTTGCCAATTCCATATAACTATTTATTGAGAATGCATGCTTAACATTCTCAAGACAGATAGGTTCAATAAGTCGCAATTTATGCTTTAAAAACTCCAGAAATTTTGAGACATACAAGTTAAATAAAATACAGTAGCTACAAAAATAGCGCTTCTCCACTTTTGAAGTCAGTTTTGCAGCCTCATCCCTTTCCAAAAAAAAAAAAAAACAAAAACCAAAATAAGCAGCACAATTTTTTGTTCTTTCATCCAAGCTGCAAAATTATCAAGTCAATAGCAAACATTTGGTAACATTGAACATATGATCAAAAAGAGACAGGCTGTGTGCCAGAACACTAAAGCAGTTTTATAAACAGATCACATCATCAGGATCAAGCAAGGCTCTAATTCTCTGCCTCAGAGGGAAGCAAAAGATACCTACGGCATAGGTGGGAAACCTTTCCAGGAGGTTTAACAAATAACAACATTAACCCTTTAGGTCTGCATACAATTACCATGGCCTTGATTTCACAGAGCCAAATGCATTACTTTTTTTCCGAATTTTTTTAATGCAGCTGTTGGCCAAACCTCTACTCTAAGGGGCTTAGAATAACTCTGACGTGAATGCACAATATTGACATTTGGAGTACTGACTTCATTGTGTTGCTAGTCAACAACTGAAGCGATACAGCAAGTCAGACCTTGTAAGCTCACTTTTTTTTTTCTTTACCACCACCTGTAATGCTGGATGGCACCCACTTTGGTAAAGAAGACTGAAGAACCCTAATTAGAGGCTGATAAGCATAAAAGATTATTTACTTCTACAGAGGACATCTGTAAGCTTTAATACCTTAAATACAGTCTCAATACTTGATTAAGAGATTAATAAGAATGAATGGCCCCACTGACAAAGACCTAAGAAAATTCATTCACGAATCCAAGAAAAGAGATTCGGGCCACACATTTCTTCTGGTAAAGTAAAACCCAAACGCTACAGGGTAACTAATTTCAGGTGGGCCCCATCCTGCCATGGAAACGCATCCCATCATTTGTTTCAGAGAACACTCACGATGTCCCAAGAGAGAGGGCATCGTGGTCACATAGAGGCCCAGGGTGCAGCAGTCCAGCACCCGCCCAGCACCCTACCACGCTCAGGAAGCGAGTGGCAAGAGGATCTTTCCCTCCATACCCATGTGTAGATCTTTTCAGGCTCCGATTTCCAATGGGAACTGCTCCCACCTCTTCCTCAGCCAAGGCTGCATAAGGCCAGCAACGCTCAGAGCTGGCGGAGGTCAGCTCTTCCCTCCCTGCTCCCCTGCCCCAGGGCCAGGCCCAAGCATAGCATCAGGGGTTCTGCACACAAGTATCTGTCTCTAGCTCGATTTGATGCACATCCACACAAAACAAGACCTTCTCCGATCAGACCCCAATGTGACAGCTCCAGCCACCCTTCTGTGGGTGGGGTTTGGAGAGCTTTAGGTTTGCTCAGAGGTAGGGCTTTCCTGGGGCGGCTTAAACCCTACAGCAACACGGTCAACTCCTCACAGCACTCAGCGTCAGCTGCACGACGATGCTCACTGAACGGATCTTGAAGCACATGCAAATAGTCTTGAAATTAGCATGGTCCTAACACACACAGCCACAGAATCATAAATATGAAATGTATTTAATGTGACCATATATATTAGATACGATCACCCCTAACATCAGCATTATCCTGGAGCTCAAGACCAACAAAAAAAAACAAACAGGAAGTACACAATAGGCCTTTCATGCCTCTCTTTTGGAATTACCAGGCACAGACCTCCTTCTGATCTCCTAGAACCAGGTAATTGAGGCTTGGGATACACCAAGAAGACTTTTTGCTATCTATTTTCCTCTTGAAAAAACCCCTGCACACTACAGCTATGGAAATGTTACTAATTTTATAATACAAACAGATGATAAGTTATTAAAAATGCCACTGGGGATATTAACTGATCGCCTTTAAATTCTTCATGTGACCTTGCTCACTGCGTCCTACAAAGCAGCAACAGTTGACTTGTGTAATCTTCTTCCATTTTCAGCATCAAACTTCACCCACCACTGAAATGAATTCTTCCACAGTGCTGATACCGAAAAAAACTCAATTACTGAAGTTAAATTAGGATAAATTCTCACCAGTTCAGGCCAGCTGAGATATCCTGGCTACAGCTCACTAGATTCCACAGTTCTGCTTCTCCCTGGGCAGTTTTCGTAGGGATTCACATACGCCCACTGCTTGGGAGCCTGGTCCCACAATAACATTGCCAGAACCCAACCCTGTCCATGCCTTTCTTCCCAAAGCGTACCACTCCTTATCCAGCACAACCAAGTCCTCGGCTGGTATCTTCATGCAGACAACAAGCCCTCAGAAGTGCCTGCAAAAACCACCGTCTGCAAAGTGTGGATCCTACAGCATGCAAAAGTTGTATAAAAATAGATGCAAAGATGCAAATGCAAACAACAAATATGGACAAAACACACACCACTTGCAAGCTTTATGAAAACAGGCTTCATCCTTTACTGTTTACTCAGAGATTACTAACCGGGGTTAGAAATCGAGCAC